TTTACTTCACACAAGGCCTGCTGGTGGAGAGGCCTCTGACTGGTTTTGTAGGTGTTTTCAGGACACTTACTGTTCCTGTTCTCATGTTTTGTAGCTAGAAGGCTGTACCAGACTAACTCCAAGTAACATCAGAGTTATTTGGCAGGAATTGAGACCATCTAACCTTTTATTTTATTTTGGACATTTCATGCAGCTAACTAATGTTCCTATCTGGTGCTAAGAAAAATGTTGTTACTTTGTGTAATTCAAACATTACCCATAGCTCTTTTTTGTGTAATTGAGAGCACGCACAACAATGAGAATGACTGATCGATAGGTCTATCTTCCAGTTTTCTTTCATCTTTACCTCTTGCTGATTTTTCTCCCTTTCTTTGACAGCAGTAAAGTATTAGGTGTGAGTGGTGTTAATTTTCTTTTAATTCTGACCTTTTCATTACAGAATAGGTGTTCAGCAAAGGTAACGTCAAAGAGGCTGTATTGATTCTGTCATTATTTCCAAAGTGTCTGATTTGTTTTGATCTCCTTCATTAAAACTAATTTAGATGAGGCTCATTCTTAAGGATCTATAATGCACTTTCTGTTAAAATTAGAATAGTCATTTAGTTGCAAAATAAAGACTGGGACTTAATATTTGGTTGTTGTTGGTTTGTTGTTTTTTTCTTTAAACTGGCCTTAAATGTCCAATTTAAAAACCCAAAATGTAAGTATTAACTTCTCCCCCCTCCCCCCCAATTATACATAAGGATAGTTAAAATACAAGGGGTTCATTTCACCACTGGTATGTTACATTAATACTTCTAGCTATGATACTATACTTTTAAAACTGATAGAGCTATGAAAGGAAAACAATTAAAAAAAAAACAAAAACAAAAACCAAAAAACCCAACAAAACAGACTGGTTAAAGTTAATTTAGATAATTAACTATCGAGAAAGCTGTAATTAGCTATTGCTAGGGTTATACGTTCATAGTAGCCTTAAACTTCTTGGCATCAACTTACACTACTGTGTTGTAAGTTGGGAATCTCACTTGTGAATAGCTTGCTTTATATAGTTTATGTGTGAAATCAACATAGTTAATGTGTGAAATCAACAGAATATTGATGTATGTCTGTTCTGAGTCACTACTTCACTGTTCAAAATCTGATACCAACTTTTGAAGAGTAAGGTGGTTGCAATCAGATGACGATGTGTGGTGATAAAGAAGGAAGTACTCCATTATCTGAGCAGATAAAAGTTGGAGATGCGCAGTTTTTCTGGGGTATTGTTGGAGGCGGTAGCTGTGAAGTACCTCATTTCTACTTCTCAGTCCAGAGCAAAGAGCAGTTACATGGAAGAAGCTGGGAACCATTTAGAATACCCTACAATCTAGTGATTAGGTAGTGCAATCTCTTGGGAATTAAAATAACATAAAATAAGCTGGGCCTCTGACTTTTTCAGCAAGTGCTCAATAAGTAGTTCTGGAATAAGAAATTCTTTCACTGCCAACTTACTTTTCATAGAAAGCCGTAGACAACACTATATGCTCTAGAAAGCTTGATGTTATTAAACTATAAAACTTGTTTAAAAACTTACTGATACAAGAGAAGGAACACCTACTTTCTCAACAACCTGATTTAAACCTTAAATAAGCACAAAGCTCCTGAGTCTTGCCAAATCTAAGGCATTTCTGTGTATGTGCTAAAGATCAGCTTTCAGGTGTTTCTGGTTCTTTAAAATACAGCATTTGAGGAGTTGGAGCTTCCAGGTGTCAGGCAGCAGCTGGGAGGTTTTGTGTAGTAAGTTGTAAGCATTTATGACCCTTTTTTTTTTTCATGTTACCTTTTATGGCTTCACTTATAACTTTGGTGACAAAATCTTATATCGTCAAGTTAAAGAACTTGGTGTGAACTTTGTACATCAAATATGAGTGTGCTGATAAATTGCAAAAAACAATTTGTATTTTTATTGCACAGTTTGCATTTGGTAATTTCAATTGTATCGTACACTTCTCATTTCCTGCTATACTCAGTGTTGGAAGAATCTAGGGGATCAAATGGCAACAGATCTCGGGTGCAGGCCAGAAGTGACCTTCTTTCTGTGCTGCAGGACTCTTTTATCATAAAAGAACACTTGGACTAGTCTTCCCCTAAAAGTGTTTTTATCTTTTGTTAGGAATATCTTTTTGCAGGAATCTTGGTGGTCTTCTCACACACAACCCTAACATTTACTTGGTGGTTACTGGGGGAGTGTTATTTGGCTTCTCCTTTCTAAAGGAGAACGGGTTGCTTAACAGAGTCACCATCTGTGGAGATACTTAAAATCTGACTGGACTAGCTGACCCTGCTTGTGCAGGAGGGTTGGATTAGGTGATCTTGAGAGGTCCCTTCTGACCTCAACCATCCCGTGATTTTGTGAAAAGTATGGGTAAGCAGACATTCACAATTTCAGCTTGTGGAACTGTAGTTACAGCCAGGTTTTTAAAAGGTATTTATATCAAAACAAAAGTTTGCCCCAAATTTCACATAATCGGGATGCGCAAAAGTACTGGTTTCAGTAGTGTCTTAATTTCAGTAATACATCTTCACCATTTACTTCTCCTGGCTACAGTAGGACATTTTTCAGCTTATGCATAGATATGGAAACTAAAATTTTAGAGAACTGCATTTTTAACTGATAACGTGGTCTAGGTGTGACTCTCTAGTAGGGACCAAATTGACTGCTAGGTAGATAAAACTCTTAATTTATCAGGAAGAAATAAGGACCTGTATGTTATCAGGGTTGAACATCTGTCATGTTTTCTTTATAGAAGATAATCTGACAAAAGAATGGCCACTACATGCACAAATTTATCTTGAGGATATGTCCTGGAATGAAGGTATGAGTGCCTTACTACTTGTTCTCAGTGCCTTTCATTGTCACTGCAATTGTTTTCTATTTTTTCTGCATCTTACACTATTATGTTGTCTTATTGTAAATTCTACTTTTTTAATATTTTCTTCAGATTTAGCTATTCTGTTCTCTGTGATTACCTGAATTGGAACCTGACTTTCTGTGATACTTACTTTGCATTCCTTCTTCCCCTTCACCCCCCCTCTGCTTGCAGTACCACTTTTCACCTAGCTCTCTTCTTGTAGTATAATTATTTAGATTTCCAGATTCTTCCCAAATCTCTCATGTATCTTCTTGCTCTTTCTGTGATGGTAGAATGCAAGTGTTTTCATACAGGTTTTTTTTCATCTGACAGTGTGTTACTTCTCTCCTTTATATTACTCTAGTTTTTATAATTTACTTGCTTTTTGGATGAATGGCTGATTTTTTTTTTTGCTTTTTTTTGTGTTGTGGTTTTTTTGTTTGTTTTTGTTTTTAAGCAGGGGGGGGAAGGGGGAATGCTACCTACTTTCCTTTTTTCTGTTTCATGTTTGTTTCCTGGGTCAGCAGTCTGTTTTGGAACCATCCTTGATCTGTCATATGTATAATTAACACCCCTTAGTTTGTTCTTAATTGCTCTCTAAAGATCTTGGTACTTTGTCAGAATCAAGTTCTCATTCAGAAATACTCAGTGATGTAGTCCTTTTAACATATGTCTGTTTCACTGATGTGCGCCTTTTATTATTTGCTCTTTTAAAGAGACTACACTGACCATGGCTGTTTGGCATAAGAATGCCTCGCAGTCACTGAAACACATTTTAAGAGTACAGTTATTTTTTGAGCCACAGATGGTAGCACAGGTACTGATACTCACACTCCAGCAGTGGGAGGGTCACACTCACAAATTATGTTGTGTAATTAAGAGCAGCTTTGTGAAGAAAATCCAAAATAAATTCTTGATTCTTCTCAAGCACTAAAGGCTTTTTTGCTTTCTTTTTTGGCAGATGAACAATGTTATACTCTCTCATGCCGATGTGGTGGGAATTACACTGTCTTCAAGAGTGAAACCAAAGACGTATCTTTGGTTTGTTGTGACACATGTTCACTTGTTATCGAGATCCTTCAATGATTGAAACAATCAAGCACATTAAGAGTTACAAACTTTTAAAAAGACTGGACAAACAGGAGACAGCATCTGCTGAGAAATGTATGTTAAAAAAAAAAAGGGGCACTATAAGAACAAGTTCAGTCAGACTTAAGAAAAGAAATGTGCCCATTTGCTAACATCGCTCTACAGACATGAGGCTTGGGTTTTTTTTCCTTCTGCAGCTAAAGAGCTAGTTATTAAAAACCTCCAGAACAGAACACTAAGTTCTGTACAACTGGAATATATCTCATGATGTAAATGACATTTCTTTCCCAGCAAACAACGAAGTAGCTTCTTTCAATCTCAGTCTGTATCAACTATACCTTAGGCCCTACCTCTTAGGTTAAATCCTTTTAACAGCTCAGATGACAAAATTTAATCAGGAGGTATAGATGTGAGAATGCTTTGAAGATAATGAAGACTAAGGTGCAATCTGAGCCTTGGAAAGAGGTGGCAGACTTGCAGATCTAACAGGCTGGTGGCAGGTCCAATGCCTATGCACTGGACTATAACACTGCATCTACATTAACTTTTCGGCACACTTTTGAACCGACTCTCTCCATCATCTGAACAAATGCAGTCTTCATTCCTTAGATGAAAACTAACCAGGAAGCTGTGCTCTGGGCCCTACTGGGCATGCAGTCCACTGGGCCAAACTAGAGCCAGTTTAAGAAAACCCTACAAAACACATATAAGTGACTAGCAGATCCAGAACCCCACTGTTAATGTCTTCAGTTTCCATCCCACACTACATACTAATGTAGGCATAGCCTATATGTGGCTCAGGATGTGTGACAGTATAATAGCGCATTGCACGTTTTTCATCCCTTATTAACAGTCAATGCTAACCTTGGCTTGCAGTAAAACCCAAGACTTTCTAATACATCCAAGCACTTACTGTGTGAATAGCCAGAGGAAACAGAGTAAGAGGCATATCATTTTTGTTGATGACAGCAGAATATCATTCCCACTTTCAAGTTAGATGTAATCCCAGAGACATCTTTGTCAAGTAATACTTGTGTTTATTCCAAACAAAAATAGTTCCATTGATTTTTAGTAGAAAATATTATGAAAGCTGGCAATAGTCACTTAAATCTTTTAATCATCAAGAAATCTATGGCCATTGGGGCTTGCACGTAGAAATCCAAAGTCATTCAGAGGCCAAATCTGTAAAATAAAATACAGTTACAAAAGATTTTTATCACAACTTGAAGTTCAGTATTTTCATTTGTTATTGTTGTAATTGTTTCATAAACTGCATAATTTTTAGCTCTTTGGTTGACAGGGTATATATGAACTTTTCTCACTTGTGTGTTTCTTTACTAGGAGTAATAAATACAGGAGGAATCATCATTCCATAGTGGCTGGAGACAACGCTAATTTATACACAACATGCTTTGCTATGGAGAGCCTCACAAATTACATTATTTTTTTCAGCCTTGGAAATAAATACATTCCTAGAAAATATCTTTTAAATTCTAAGTTTTCTAGCTTGTAAATCTCTTAACTTAAAGGACAAAGTATGCATTTTTGATCCATCTAGGAGAAGAAAGAATACCATGACCATTACCTCCCAGTGAAAGTAGTTCTGTGAGGTGTACATTTGTATTTTCAAGATGGGCATTTGAACTGCCAACACCAAACCTTGGAAGAAAATTCCATAGGCTTGTAGGTAAGCTTATACCATGCAAATAGGTACAAAGGGGTGGAGTGCCTGCCACCATTAGGGGCTCTCAACCAAGGGGCTCCTCTGAGAAGGGGACTACTGTGTGGAAAAGGAAGGAGCACAAATCATGACCAAGTACAAGCACAAGTTTAAGAGAATGATGCTCAACTGTAAGAAAAAACTTTCTCTCCAGAAATTAACTATATAGCTGTTCATACTACTGAATGCTCCCAGGAGTACTTTCCTCTGAACATTCACTAATTACATGTAGGCTGGTCTTGAATGCAAAAAAAAGTAATGGGGAATCAAGGACATTCTTTTACACTTTGTCCTTCGTCTCCCTTGACTGCCAGCGTCTCTTCACAACATGTTCTTTCAAAGATGGCACGAGGGGATCAGCAGAAAAGAGATGTTGAAGAATGAATGCCCTCTGTGGCTCTAATCTTATAAAAATCTCACAGCCCCTGCTCAAGATGAAGCGACCTAGAGAACGATGATGCACTACCTTGTTCCCAAAGCATCTGTCAGTATGATGTTTATCTTGCTCATTTTTCCTTAGAATTTGATCTTAAGGAAGGTATGCAGTCACCTTCCAGGAACAGCAACTTACTCTTTAACTCAGTTCACAGAACAGCCACAGCTGCTTTTTTTTTTTTTTTTTCACTTTTTGGAGTGAAAAAAGTAATTTTCTGGGTTTAAAAGAGGAAGCACAGTGCCAAGGTTCAATACTTCAAACCCCATGACTTGTCCCCAGCACTAAAGACAGTGACAGAGAGGCAGAGGCAGTTAAGGATGGGCACAGCAAGACATAGCATCAACTTACTAGTAGACTGGGACCATGCACTGCTAGAAGCTCCCTAGACTTGCAGCACTGTGCTAAGTTGCCATCAGTTGGATTGTGCCTGGGCCCTCGGGAAGCCAGAAGGATGAGTCTTTCTCAAGTTCTATGGATCTGAAAAAGGCTCAAAGCTCTCTTGTGCAAGTATCTTAGAAAATACGTGTCTTTTTTGGCATGTGCAGTTAGGGAAGAGCATGAGAAACATCTGCTGATATACAGAAATACACAGAGGTAACGTCTTGTCTCTATATGCATATTAGCCAGTGAGCTATTTTAAGTTCCACACAAACATCTAGAGATGTGAACCAACAACAGAAGGATATTTGTGATTTTGGTTAGAAGCAAAGCTACAGAATTCAAAGCTCTCCAGAGGGCCTATGCTGGCTGCAGGCTGGGTGTCAAGTCTTTGGTTGGCCTCAAAGGCAAAAGGGAGTAAAAGGGAATAGGAATATCCCATATTACAAATCTAAGATAATCTGAGTAAAGGTGCAGAGAAGGAAGTTTCTTAGGCCATTTACTACAGCGCAAATCTCATTTCAGGCAACTCAAATCACACCTATTGCAACTTGACTTTCTTTCAGTGAAAGTAATCAAATTTGTTTTAAATATTGTTTTGACAATTTAGTTTCAAATTCATCACTACCATCCTAATGGTAGAGGCAGAATGAAAATGATGTTTTATCTAGTCTGCATGCAGGAGAGAATGCAAAAAACAATACTCATGGTTGGAAAGGAGATGGAACAAGCCTTCTATGGGAACAAAGACATGCCACTGTGTGTAGTAATTCCCAAGTCTTTTAAAGTTATGACAGAAGTTGACTGTGACTTGTTCGTTCAAACTGGCTAGTCCAATTAGCAGCTACTTCCCCTTGCCCTCTTTAGTTTGGCCTACATAGATTTGATCTGATGGATAGAGGATAAATGGGGCTAACTAGCTCTTCTGAAGATACACTACAGGTCTTTTTTTGACACGGAGCCTAAGTCCAGGAAATGAACAGGATAACCTGCCTAGGATAAGATGAAGCATGAGTTCTGTCAAGTGGGACTCCCTAGGCTTTTACTGAATTTGCAGCTACATTGATTTTAGTGGCCTTTTTATGGAATGAACTTGTCTCTCAGAGTGGCAGTTGATATGGTGGCAGGGAGGAAAAGGGGCAAATAAAATCAAGTATCATTATTTCTGTATGGGTTAAAAACTGGTGCACCAACATTGACTGAGAATCTTAGGTCTAAACTTCACAGATAAGCTATAGAGAGAATTAACACTTATGTTCTGCCAAGAACAGGTTGCCTAAACAAACTTGATACAAGCTCTCTCTCTTCTGATGAAATCCGTTACTTCCAAACTAGATTTGGGTTTTTTGCATCCATTACTAGAAATGTAACTTAGCATTCAAAGGCACTGTTATATCTGCTTCTCCAAAATCCCTTTAAGATAAGGCACATAAGGTTCCATTCTCAAGGCAGTAAAAGATTTTTCATGAAAGAGAAGCCAAACCTCTAGCAGACTACATTAAAAAGCATATGTAGGTTTCTTCGCCAGTGGTCTACTAATTAGCTACCACCATGCGGACTAGCTGTGTTCTGCTGCCTTTCAGTGTAATGTTCAATAGCAACATACAATAGCAAGATCACTGTATTCTAATGTGAATTACCATAAACAACCTAAACTATAAATATTCATTTGAAGAATAAACTCATTTTTGCTTTTGTTAGGCACCATATACTTAAATCTCGTTAAAATGTTAATAATCACTACCCTACCCTATGCACCATCATAAAACAACTGCTATAAAATTTGATTAAATAATAATTTTGATTAAGTATCAAGTGATTGCTTATTATCTTTTTAAACAGACAATATTCTGGAGTCCTAAAGTACTTCTTCAATATCTAGTATCTGTGTGTAAGTTCCACTCATTTTACTGAGTTTACTGCTTGCTAAATTTAGGGTTCAGTTCTGTCAGTCACTTCATTAAAGCCTCTCAAACATCCTCCTTGTTGGGGTACAAGCTGGACACAAATTTATTGCTGTGGAGGGATACTGTGAATAATTACAGCTGTCCACATACGTAAGTTCTTAATATATACATTATTTGCTAACAGCCCCCTTGAAGTAGTAAACAGCAGTTTTTCTATACTAGTACATCAGTTGGAGAAATTTTTTTTTCAGTTGGATTATTAATACCACGTTCTTATTAGAAGGGCTGTCAGCATATTAGCATCATTTGTATTTTAGCAGTTAATAATCCAAGCTAAAACTTGGGTCATAAAAATAGCGCTATTTAGAATCAGCATTTTTTCCTCTGGTGTACACGATAAGGCAAACAATACAGAGAAGAACAGAGAGCACTCAATAAACACTAGGGAAGAGCTCAAAGCAAATGCTATCCAGAAAGAACAGAGGTCAGACAAAACTCGGTGGTGAGGCTGAGGGGGACATGTTATTTGAGGTTTATTAAGCAATTAGTGATTATGGTCAATAGCTGCAAGGTTTTTTGGAAAAGTCCTAAGTTAGGTTCAAAAAGACTGTAAGTATATAAAACTTTGTTAAATTGGAAAGATCTAATCTTCCCTGTGCATGTAATACAGCTGTGCTAAGTTATGTTTTTGTGGATGTGTTGCAATATATGGAGAACAGTTTTCAAAACCTTTTTTTATTGTTCTGAATGGCACCATTTTAAATCTAGCTTTCTAAAAGCTGGTACATAAGTCTATAATACATACTCCCTTGTTTCTTAGATTAAACTTTTTATGGAGACGAAATTGTCTTAGTTTCTTCTTTTTGGCAAATGAGTAAATTAATAATGCAAATAATATGAAAAAGTAAGTTAGTGTGAAATAAAGCTGTAGAATTGTTAAAACAGAAGGAGAAGGAACCATGGAGGTTTATACAATACAATATTATTTCAAAGCTTTTTTTTTTAAATAAAAATGTGGCGGACAATTACGGTGGCACAGATTTGACTTTACCGTTAAGGCTTTTTCACAGACGTAGTTTAAAAAGCAGCAAGGCCAGTCTACATGTCTAAAGTATGTATGCAAGTCCTAGAAAGATAACCTTTTCCTCCATCTTTGTTTTTTGAACTATGGAACTACACTTCTCAAATTACAGCAACAGTGAAATATGGAACTGCCCTTTTCTATCATTTTGCAGAGGCAAGAATCAAATTAAGGATGGAATGTATATCCATGCAGTGGGGGGGTGGGGGGTGTATGTGTTTTTATCGGGTTTGGATTTGCTTGCAAAATAGTTCATTCAGTTTTCAGAGGCAGTGACTGCTCAGAGTGCTGCTCTAAAAACAAGTCCTCCCTCAAAAAAACCCCACCCTTGTTGAATTATCCTTTTACAGCAAGCATTCAAGCTTTCCTTTACATTTGCTTTGGCCAGACAGTTAAGGAGGCAAGTTTTAATACCTAACACCCAGGCATTAAAAATGTATTAATGCAACTATTTTTAGATACTATAAATACATATACCTTAAAACAAATGCGTCCTCTTATCAGTCCATAAGGAACAGGTCCATAGCACCTGGAATCTGTAGAATTCCTGAGATTATCACCTTCTAACCAAACATGTCCTTTAGGCACCTATGATTAAGCAAGACTGAAATGTAAAAAGAAAATAGACTAGAATGGTATTAGGCATAGTTTGCCTTAAATATATTTTCTGATTTCTGTGTTCTGTATTTCATGACTATATAATGAACTAATTTTTTATTGAATCTAGTAAGACACAGTGCCAGATTTGGAGGGATGAGGAGTGCTCCAAAGTATCTGTTCTATCATGTGCTCAAAAAACAATGGTTCGCAACAAAAAATCCAAAATGAAGATGTAAGAGGTTAGACCAATGTGACAGGGTCATTAATTTAATAGACTTCAAAAGAGGTCATTAGGATGTTGACTGAAAATCTGCCCTCCTGTCGCAGTAACAGCATGAACAGGGCAGCCACACACTCATCAACATCCTGGGGCCAGCACCAAGGCTAGACCTGTTAGTAGATTCATGATGAACTAACTGGTAATTGATTGTGACATCAATTACGAATAATCTCATCATTTTATCGGAGTAGGCTTGTCAAAGTTCTAATTAAGATCACAGTTCATTCTATGTGCAGGCAGAATCCACAACACATTATATTGCAATAATGATGATCACAAAACAGCAAATCCCTTTTTATAATTTGAAAATTAATGATGGTGACCTTACACTATATGACAAAGACCTTTCATTGCCTATATATATTATGCATTAACTATATTACATACCATAGATTCATGGCATTCACCGACTGAGTCAATGACAAAATAAGAAATAGCAACATAGCTGTATTAGTTACCTAAATAAGAGTATAAAGCTTTCATATATGAAAAAGTTGCTACTGTAAGTCTTAAACTAAGATTTCCCCTTGGAATATACCACACTATTTTGATACGTTTTTTAAAAACATTTCAGCTATAAATAACCTCTTACAAGTTACCAAATAAGATATTTAATAATTATTTTTCTGATGTTTTTGTTTCTAAAATTCTGAACCAGGCTGAAAATGTAAAGGTAGCAACATATTCTCAATCTAGATAATATTTAATGTGGACTTTAAGTTAACATACATTTTTCCAAAACCAAATATGTACTTGAAACATTACTATACCCACAATTCAGAGAAAAAATATACGGAAACAAAATTTTAAAAACCCCAATTTCAGAGAAGCTCAGAGTTTGAGCAGTATAAACATTAATGTTTTAGAAATAAGCCACATGGACTCATAAATACAATAGTCTACATATACAGAATTCAAGGATAACAGACTAAACAAAATAAAATACCACTCTAGTGGTAAAGTCTGGATGTAAACCATTAAGAATAAAACCAGGTCCCCCAGATAAACATTTGAGGAAAACGCAGCTGAAGTGTAATTGTTGGTACTTAGAGGTATCTGGCCAGGTAACACTTACTGGGAACCTCGTCTTTAAATAAGCCTTTTAGGCTCTTGCTTATTCATGCTCCCGCCTGCCTGTTACCAGACGGGGATCTGAGGATAGCACGCTACCCCAGAGTCCCTTTGTTGAGCTGTGGCAAATGTATAAGCTACGGATTAAGAACCAATAGTTTGTCTCTGGCAGCGGCAAAAAGAGATACTCATCATGGAAAGCATATGTAAGCCTGTCCATCTTTTCCCAGCCACTCCCTGTATTTCTCCGGTATCCAGGATAGGTGCTTTAGGCACGTCAGAGGGCACACATCCCTGCCTCATCATTTCAGAATCTGTATGTGGAGCTGTACACCAGCAATATGTCTAAACCCTTTTGAAACCTACTGATGCTGTCTCCTTCCACAGTCTCCTGTATAAAGGAGTGCCGCCTTGTTTGTTTTAAATTGATCTGCTCGTTCTATCAAGGTCCTTTACTTCCTGTTCTCCCAGTCCTTCAATACAGGAATTCCATACTCAGCTTGTCTGCCCCCTTTGTTATTTTGTAGGCTTATCAGATTGCTGGTACGTGCATGGAAGAGCTTTCTCTGGGAAGGCCATTTGGTTTCATCTAGATGACTTTGGCCCTCCTCCTGCCCAAGCGGCTTTGCAAACAAAATAACCAACCAGAAGTCAATTTAAAATAAATAAATTAAAAAATAAAAAAAATTATCCAGAGTCAAATGACCTGTGTACAATATACATCTTATCACATGTGGATAGATGTTTTTGATAGGTCTCCATTTGAGACTGTACTGACATTCCTATTTTTCTCAAAAATTCTGTAGTATACAGCCTATTTAGAATGTCCAGCAGCAATTGTTAGGTTAGTTCGATATTCATCTTCACTTATTCACAGTGTACCCACCTAAAGCATTCATTGTGTCCACATCTGACACACGAGTGTGTTTTTCAGGTGTGTGTTACGACGCATAGCAGCGTTCTGACCTTCCTGGTGCAAACTCTCCTGTCCAGCATCTACCAGAACTACAAATCATACATTAAACCACTGTAATTTTGAAAGACTATCTCAGCAAATATACAAAAAGGAGAAGCATGAATTACTACGAAAGGAAGATTTTTTTAATGAAATAAAAAAGCAAACCCACATTAACATTTCACATTTTTGAAAAAGCGTCACCTCTTGCAATGTGCTACTGTTTCACACGCAGGACACTACGCACTCCCCTTCTACTTTACTGGTTCCCATGCTTTCTACTTTACCTGATTCATAGGCAGAACATGAAGCTCATCTGTTACTATGTATACACAAGTATATCCAAACACTTCTAGACCTTCCCGTCTTTCTTCCATGCTCCAAAAGTATAAAAAATAAAATAAAGTGCTTTTGCCACCTGTGGCACATCACTTACTACTTTCAATACTACTAATAATTACTTGTCTAGACAAGATGCTCATAGTTTGCATTCCAGATAGAACATTTGCAATAAAGTATATTCCTGTATCCTGAAATCCACCACTTCCAGTAACTTTCATAGTTCACCGTGGAAGGTATGAGAGGACCCTATACCTCTAAATTTGTTGTTAAGAGTACTGTCACAATGTATGATTCATGTAGAGATAATACAGTATAATACCTTTGTATGGTGCCTGTCCATCATCTAGGCACTTCACTACAACCTAGAATTAAGACAAGCAATAAAAATCACATGAATTACATGAAAATGTAAAACCAAATACCAGTGACAGGCCATAATCATTAATTAAAAAAAAAAAGTTGTTTACACCCCTTTGAAATAAAGGCTAAAGCCAGAATCCTTCAAGGGTTTATGCACCAAGCTATTTCTAGACCAGATCACTGATTTTAGTGGGATTACTCACATTGATTAAAGTCAGCTTTGAGTATCAGCCTTTGCAGAATCAGGACCCAGTCTGAAACGCCTCAAAGCTATGCAAGCACAGTAGCTAGCAATAAGATACATTTTTAACCAAAGAAAAAAAAAAACTATTGAAAACTTGTATTTGTAGTAAGAATATATTAATTACACACCAGTAGGCTGCTATTGCCAAAAAACCCAAGGCAATGGGAAAGCCACTTACTTGACGATTCACAAGGTTGCATTTTGGTATCTACAGGCCATGCACCTCTTAGACAAAATGAATTGTAGCTAAGAAGTACAGCTGAAATCACAGTTACCATTACTACACACAGCAAGATTGTGCATACGATAATGTTTTTTGAAAAAAATACTGAAAAGAGTGCCAAAAGCATTTAACTTAGGCTGGGCAGCATTTCAGTTCTCCCTTACACATAGGCCAGAACGAAGATGTGAAAGTCTTGCAAGCCCAACAGCTGAATTTTCACATGACTAACTTGTGGGTCACAGGCAAAACCAGCAATTCCACACCAGCGCAGGTTCATGTGAAAACACGTTGCCTCTGATCGCCTGCAGACTACTCTCTTTGCCTCAGCAACCCTTGTGCCTCTGGTTTTGTGCAGATTATCTGAGGATTTCTTTCCAAGGAACAGCAGTTCTCAGGCAGAACCGGTTATCTGAGGCGCAGCTTATATGCATGAGAATACAGGACACCGATCAGACAGGTGACTCTTCCCCCTTCTGCCTTCCAAGACTCTGAGGGCTCTTGTACAGGAGCAGATAGACCAGAAGAGCAAGATTATCGTTTAGAACAACTGCGCTTGGAGCAGTAGCTTATCCTGTTTCAGCTCAGATAAATAAGCATCTCTCACTGCAACAAACGATGCATTTGCAGGGCTGTCGTCATTTACTTAGTGGTACAGCTAAAGTGGCAAAACTGAAGTACAGGTCAGGTATTTGATGCATACTTACTAGCATAAAACATTATTTTACATAAATGGGCAAGGGCTGCGGGGGGGTCAACAAAGAATCATATTCTTCTGGTCTTTTTACATGACACCAAACTTTGAGTAATCTCACTAACTTCAAAACCAAGAGATGAGATGCCTGCGCTCTAGTTTGCACATTAACTAGCATACTAGAAAAGTAATATACCGCAAATAAGATTAACAGATTAAATTATCTGTCTCAAATATACCTCCAAACCCAACTAAATGATAATAGGCTTTTGTGGTTTGAGTTGGTTTTTTTTGTTTTGGTGGGCATTTTTTTGGTTTGTGATTTTGGGGGACTTTGGAGGGGGGGGGTACTAAAGATGGAGAAATAGGAATTTTTAATAAATAAGTGGAGAATTACAAACATGAATCTCTTGCAATCTCTGCTTTTGGAATTCCAAGTAGTCTGTGTTTGTCAAAGAACATCAGCACGTACAATCAGCTGGGAGTAGATGAAGTTTGAACTTTCATAAGGTCACAGGTACTCCCATCACCTCCAGCAATATCAAAGTTTCAAACTTAAGAAGAACTTTAAATCATTCCCATCTTTTCTTTTCAGTTCAGGGGCTTCCTTCTTGAGCTATGATAAGAACTAATCTCAGTGCTGGACAAAAGAATAAAGTCTGCAAATTCTCATCTATCCCTACTAAGGTCTATTTAAGTGCCTCCTACTTTGGTACAAGCAACAAATGTAATTGCTTCATGGCCTGCGGGTGTTCATTTAACAAAAGAAGCTTTTGTGAATAAACCACAGGTGTTACCTTTCTTGATTAAAGTGAAATATGA